TCCGTTCTTTTTCCTCTTGTGAATCGGTGTTTCGTTTAGTTAATTCCCAGGTGGCGGCCCAGAACCTCGGAGGGTGGAGGAAACGCTGTGCCTCCCGGAAGCTCCGAGCTCCGCACCGATCCTTCGAAACCCCGGTGCGGGGGCCGAGGGTGCTGCCGCCGCCGGGTTCCCATGGAGACGACGTTGTAGGGGGTTGTCCCAACGCTTCAGCAGTGTTGCCCTCCCCTGAGGACATTTTCTCATGGCTTTTATAGAGGGAGGAAGGTAGGGGGGCGGGGGGGGAGAGAGAGAGAGAGAGAGAGAAACATCCATCAGTTGCTGAAGTGATGTTAATGACAGGCAAACACAAGAAAGGCGGACCGAGCAAACGGAAACTCGTCCTTGTGTGGATGGAAACTATTCAGGGCCCAGAGGGCAAAGGCCCGCGACAAGGGAAAGATGTCACCCCTCCACGCCGAGGGACAGTCGGCGAGCCATGCAGAAGACATGCCGTTGCATTCACGTCGCGGGCCGCTCGGAGGGGGCTCCTCGGGCCCTTCCTGGGCTGCACAGACACGCGTCGGGAGGTCGCCCCGGCTCAGGGAAGCAGGCTCGGCAGGCGTGATAAAGGCTTGCGCTCCGTTGCGTGGAGCACACGGCTGCCTACATGGGGTTATGCCCTCCAAAGCAGGAGGGGGTGACAAAGAGCTCAATCCGGCCTACACCCTAAATCACTGCGACGTGGAGTCTTACCGGTTGCTTCCAGGGAGACACACAGCCCCACGCATATGGGATTTCAGCCACGTGTAGCCAGGCCGTGACCGAAAACATGGCTCAGCCACGCGGGACCGACACAGACCTGCCATGGGAGTTACAACATGCCTGTCATTCGTGTCTTGAGATCTGTGATCATTTGTTACGCGGCGTCGCTTGCTAACGCAATCCCAATGCCCGTTGGCCGACGAAAATATCTAGACGGAGAAGAGCCCTACGCATAGAGAGAACATTAGTGTAACGTCCGGCGGCTGGAGAGAAGGGGGAAGCCTATCTGGGCTCGGCATAGGGAGGGGTGGTGTCAACCAGGCAGCGCAGCTGGGCTTTGCACAGCAAGGAGCCTGAAAAATCCGGGTAGAAACCCATTCTCGGTGGCCCAGCTGTGCGCACTTCAGATATTGAACGACGTCCAACAGAAGGCCCGTGTGCCTGCAGAAACGATTCCATCCCCCGTGAGCCTGCCGACGGCCGTCCACGAAGGCGAGACGTCAACGCTGGTCCTGTTTTACGCCTGAAGGAGTGCAGGCCGCGCAGGGCCGCCGGGGGCCTGCGCGGCGGGGAAGCCGAGATGGCCAGTGGTCCGCGTTCGGTGAGACACACCATCTTCCTCAGCTCCCTTTATGACCCTTTTCCTCTGAGGGGTTTCAGACGCAAACCCGTGCACGCCCACGACGCCGAAATTAAAAAGCCCTTCCCTTCTGCTGAAGTCTCGAGTTTCCAGGCTGTGTGGCGCGGACCACCCAGATGGGAAATCCGGGTGGTTTGTCCCGGAATGCTGAAAATTCTCTCTTTCAGAGTCGTATTTTTTTTTTTTTTTTAAATCTCAGCAGCCCCGGTGAGGGAAACAACAGACCAAGAGAAGTCCAGGCTGGGTAAACAGCAGAGGAGGAAGTCGTTGGCTCTCTCGTTAATAAAATTTAAGTATCTGGGAGAAGACAGACAGACGCGAGAGCTGGGCGGCTGAGACCATGAAGAGCCTGCGTGGCCTTGGCTTGCTTTTGGTCTAAGAACGGCGTTGGGAAAAAAAAAAAACAACCACCGATTTTGACTTAAGACTGTTTCTCTCTTGACCCGGGAAGCTCAGCACGTCTTAAATTAATGGTATTTGTCAGCAGGCATACACAGGCCTTTACGCACTCATCTGAGGGGATTTTTTTTTTCATTGAAAAAAAAGGGGAACATATTGTACACACGGAGGTTAACCCAACCGAGACATTTTTACGACGTATTTTTCCAAAGTAACCAGAGGCACCTCCGTAGGCCTGGGAAATGTCTGGATTTTTTTTTTTTTCCTATTAAAAACCTCAGGGATTGTCCTGTGTCCTTTAAGCGCCCACAGAGGCATCGGCCCCTCCTGGTGGACAGGATTTGGGGACTTGGGCTTCCCAGCCGCGAAGGAACTTTTTCTGAAAGGGAAGCCCGCCGCGTCTTGAGGGACCTGTGGGCACACGCGTGCGAGGCTGAATCCGGGACACGCACACCCACATGGCCCACTGAGAACCCACGCCTGCGGGCGCGGCTTTGTGGGGGTTCCTGGGTGAAGGCAGTGGATGACTTTCCGAGGGGGGATGGGGTCCTGTGTCTCCCGGTTGGAGAAGGGAATTACCCCTGAGGACTGGGACACAGGGGGCGGGGCATGTGGAATTGGGGTGTTATCAGAATTTGAGGGCTGTGGGGCTGCCGTGACTAAGGACCCCAAACTGGAAGCTTAAAATAACAAAGGTGTAGGCTGCTCCCCGCCCTGGAGACCTGGCGTCCGAGGTCACCCAGGGGTCCCAGGGCCGCGCTCCCTCCCCAGGCTCCAGAGAGGGCCCTTCCCGCCTCTCCCCGCTCCGGGGGCCCCCGGCGTCCCTGGGCGGGGGGCCGCGCCCCTCCCTCTCTGCCTCCGCCTCCACGGGGCGTCTCCTCGGGGTCTGCGTCTCCTCCTCTGTCTCTCCTCAGGACCCTGTCCTTGCACACAGGGCCCCCCCGCCCCAGGACGACCTCCTCTGAGACCCTTTGTTTGATCCCCTTTGCCACGGAAGGTAAACTACAGGCTGGGAGAGTGACGATGTGGGGACCATGTCTTAACTCCTTGGGAGAGGGAAACAGCACACTGAGAAACCTCCGCCAAGGGGGGGGGACCGCGTGAGGGACGCCTGTCCCCAGGAGCAGCTGTGGAGTCCTGGCGTTAAGCCTTTGTCCTCAGAGTGTAAGGGCGGGTTTAGTCCCTGCCTTCCACCGTAAGCCTCACCGGAGCGAACGCCCCAGGCGGGCGTACGTGGGTGTCAGCCAGGCCTGGGCGTGGCAGGGCGGCGCGTGCACGGAGGCCCTAGAGCGCGCTCGGGGCCGGGGGACACTGGGCAGCCAGCACGTCACGGTGCGTAGGCGGACTGTCCCCGAACATTTTTATACAGGAGCTGTTTGATGCATTGCTGAAGCTCTAGGCTCACAATGAAACAGAAGAGACTTGGAGGGAGTTGCCAGGGGGAGGCGTTGGGGGGCCGCGCGGAAAAGGCTAGGCGACCGAGGAGCGCTCACTGGCACCTACAGGAGAGGGAACAGAGTCACGAATATTGTGAGACCTACGCAGGGGCCAGGTCGGGGCTGGCGGTAGTGCGGGCGGAGGTTGCTCAGTAAGTTAAACACAGGCCGAATCGCAGGTACACGGTGCGCCGTCGAGGGATAGAAAGGAACGTTGCATATAAACTGTACCTGAAACATTGAAACCCTGAAGTCGCCGCGAGTCGCCATGGAGGCTGCTTTGCAGAAACGGGGCCGACCACGGGCGCGCGGATTTCTAGACGCGAGGTTTGGGTTCCGCCGCGGGCCCGCGCCGGGAGTCTGCTGCGGGGGGTCCCCCTGGGCCCATCTGCCGGCTCGGGACCACACGCCGACGCAGACCAGGCGCCCGAGCTGCCCCGGGGGCATCGGGGAAGACACGGCCTGTCTCTCTTTCCTAAGACGGGGCGCGACGCCAGCTCGCGCCGCGTTCAAGTCACAAAGGCTCCGTCCTAGAGGTCGGGAAAACGGCCCCTTCTGTCTTAAGAACCAGAGCAGAGGGCCGGCCCTGCCCTAAAAACGGGTGGGAATCTTCCCGTCTCGGCAGTGGCTTCGCGGAAGGCCGGCGATGCGCCTCGCATTCCGGGGTCTTCTGCTATCTCAGTACCAAACAGCCTCCTCCCTGTTACACTTGTGGGTGGGTTTTCTGGGGGATGGAGGGCACCGAAAAGATTTGTTTCCCTCATTGTGTTTCCCCAAGAACACACACAGAGTCCAAGTGTGCGATCGGAGTTTATTAGCTGCGCCGCGCACAGAGAGAAGGAAACGCCAGGCCGCGATCTGAACCATCTAGAAGCTTCCTGTGCCGTCGTCAACCCTGGGAGATAACCATGTTCGCCTCTCTGCACATCCATCAACTGCTGAGAGTGTTTTTCTCTATTTCAGTGACCAAAAAATAAACCAGGACGCATACTCCACGGGAGATGGTTCCCGTGACCCTGCAGAATGTTCCGGAAGGCGAATGTCTCCCCGATGCAGACGCGTGTCCGGAGCGGGGAGCCTGGGGGTGGGACAAAGACTCCGGAAGGAAGTGGCCCAATTGTTACCCAGCAGGTGTTGCCCTTTGAGGGTGAAAGGCATTTGTGAATCAGGGCGACTTTCACACCTGTGGCTTCTGGCTCGTTTGGTGGGCACAGGTTTCCACAAGCAAAAGATCTGAGAAGTTGCTGCCACGTGCTGATGCACAAAAGGCAGGACGGGGCGGGGCGGGGTGTGGATGTGGGAACGGGCCGCCAGGCCAGCCTGGGCATCGACCGCGCCCTGGCCGGGTCACTCAGCGGGTGGAAGCGTCGCCCGTACACCGAAAGGTTGCAGGTTCGATCCCTGGTCGGGGTGTGCACAGGAGGCAACCGATCCCTCTCTCTCTCTCTCCCTCTCTGTCCCCCTGCTTCCTCGCTCTCTAAAACCAATAAAAAAATATTGTCACGTGAGGATTGGGGGAAAAATCACCCCGGAAGACATGGGGGGGTGAACGCAGAGACCAGCTCCGAGCCATCGTCGGCCCGGCCACCTCCCGGGAAGCCCGTGGGGCAAAGGCTGACTCGGGCACGGCGTTCACAGGAGATCGGGGTCTTCGTGACCCCCCCAACGTTGGCATCATGGGTCCGGGCTGTCCCCTTGTTGGGGGAGGGTGTGGGGTCCCCAACAACGCCCCGCGGCATTTCCGCGTCAACGAGGACGCGCCTCTGGCTTCGCGTTTGCGCCCCTCACAACGTCACATATGCGTTGTCGCCGACCACAAACGTGAAGCCCCGGAGAGAGACCCGCTCTTCGCCGGGGGGCGGCGGGCCGGCCCGCGGGCCGGGGTCCCCCGCGGCTTCCTCCTCCTCCGTCGGCGGGCACGAAGGGCCCATCACCGTGACCACGGGCGCCTCGGCCTTGGCCAGGGGCATCTGCACCTCCAGCGTCGCTTCCAGGACAAGCTCCTGCTCCTTGTCTTCCGCCTTATTCAAGACGGCCACGTTCTGGGTGTCCTTGATCCATTCCTGTGGGGACACCGCGCTGTGAGGGCCCTGCCAGAACCGCCGGGTGGGCGGGCTCCCGGGGTGAGGGGCGCGAGGGCCGCCCCTGGGTCCCCACAGGGGCCCGCAGCAGCCGCGTGGCCTGGCCCCCCAGGACGGGCACCCCCTCCCGCGGGGACAGAGCGCACCAGCCCACGCACCTGCAGCTGCGCGAGGCCGAGCCCCGGGCCCCTGAGCGCAGCGCGCAGGCCCAGCACCGGTGGCTGTAGCACAAAGAGGCCCCCGGCGGGGGGCATCCCTGTGTGGCGTGAAGGAGAAGAGGACACGCCCCCATCTCGGGGGCCACGGGGCAGGAGCACGGTTTTGAGCAGAAGGCGATGAGATAAAAAGCACCCACAGCAGCAACCCCCCGCCCTCTGGGTGCGTGGAAGCCACACGTGAATGGCCCCTTTGTCTACCACAGGTCCCTGTGGCAACGGCCGGTCCTGTCCCTGCCAAGTGCAGCCCAAACGACAGAGGTCTTTTCCTTGAAGGGCCCTTACTGACCACGCAGGGTTGACACGCAGCCCCCCGCCCCCCCGCCTGCCACGCACAAGCCCCGCCCCCTCGCCTCGGCCTGGTTTCTCCTGCCCACTCCCTGGGCCTTCCTCGAAATGGCCTCAGCTCCCCCGGGACCCCCTGTTTGGGGTGTTCCGTTCTTCGGTGTGAGCCCCTCCCGCCCTGGGTGCATAGGGAAATCAATCTTTTCTCCCATTCCTCTCTTTTTTGCCCGTCTTTGGTCCATTGAATGCACAGTCCTCGGGCACAGAGCCGCAGAGAGTAGAGAAAAGGTGTTTTCCTCCTTTCCTGTCTTTTTTTTTTTTTTTTTTTTTCCTGCTCTACACCTAAGGAGCTTGGGCGTTCACCTTGCTCCTGCAGGAAGCTGAATGGCACAGACTTCTTGAAAATCAATGTATGTCCCAGTGCCGACCTTCCAAATTTGGGAATGTCATTTTATGTGGGAACAGGGCCTTTGGAGACGGGATGGAGGGAAGGATCTGGGAGGAGGTCGTCCTGGGTCAGAGGACCCTGCGTCCCAGGACAGGGTCCTGAGAAGAGAGAGGAGGAGACGCAGACCCCGAGGAGACGTCCCGGGGAGACGGAGGCAGAGAGGGAGGGGCGCGGCCACCCGCCCGGAGACACCGCGAGCAGGCGGGAAGGGCCCTGTCTGGAGCCTGGGGAGGGAACGCGGCTCCGGGGACACCGGGACCTCAGACGCCGCGTCTCCAGGACGGGGGGTGGGGGGGTGAACTTGAGATATTTCAGTGGCAACCCCAGGGAGCTGAGAACACGCTCCTCGCGTTGCCCTGGAACATCTGCGCTGGCCCCTCGGGCCTCTGGGGACCTCCTGGGGCGGGGGCTGCCCCCCCTTCTCCTGCAGCTGCTCCCCAGCTGCGCTGAGTGTCTCCACGGCAGGGACCGCGGGAAAGCAGAAGTTTACGCCCGCGTTTGGCGGGCAAGGCCACACACAGGACTTCCTGGCGAGGTGAGCGTCGCGCGGGCGGGCGGGGCGCGGCGCTCGGAGCTGCTTTCCAGAGAACCCGCGTTTAGGGGTCTGTGGGGGCTTCCTCCCTCAGAGCGAAAGACCAAAACGAGTCGCCCCCGCCTTGGCGAGCGAGCGCAGAACAGGCCTGCGGGCCCGGCGCGAGGCGGAGGCCGGACCGTGTGTGGGTTCGGAGCCAGCCCCCCGGGGCGGCGCCCGCGACGCCTACCTGGAAGTTTCCGTGGTGGGCCTCGAAGAGCCCGGGGAAGGTGAACTTGGGGTCCGGCACACTGGGCACCAGGACCTTCTTCACTCTGCAAGGGAGACGGCGGGACCGTTACAAGGGTGACGCAGGCATCTGTCCCTCCGCCCGGCCGACGGCCCAGGCCCCAGAGGGGCCGAGGGTCGCGGCGGGCCTCGCCGCAGAGAGCCGGCGCCCGCCCCAGTTCCGCAGGCACCCCCACGCAGCCCCCCAGGAGCGTGACCGGAGCGCTGCAGGACAGATCTTGGCCCATCACCATCCCTCTGTATTTCTTTTTCATTGACATTTTCATGTGACCTCTGCCCCCACTTTGCAAATCCACAGGCCAAGGCCCGCCCCCGCCACGGACTGTCTTCGCGCTGGGGCACCCCCGGACCCCCGGGAAGAGGTCCCTAAGGACTGAGGGGGGTCACAACGGGGGGCCCGGCGCTTCGCCCCTTGGGGCGTTTGGAGGTGAAGGCACTGCCGAGGGGCTCCCCGCCCTCCCCCACCGGCCTCCAAGCACCAAGTTCCCCTTCTGCAAAAGAAGTTTCGTTCGGTGAAGGCCGCCCCCGCCCCCGCCCCCGCCCCCGCCCCCGCCCCTCCCTCCCTCCCTTACCAGGAAACAGAGAAGGAGCTTTATCACCGGAGCTGATTCCGAGATAATTGTACACGGAAAAGCGTTATCGCTTCCGAACTTCCTCCGCGCCTCGGCTGCCCTCCTTCTGCCGGTGCCCCTCCCCCGCAGAGGCAGCGCCCTGACCTTGTCTCCTCGGGTCTCCCCCGCGGACCCTCTTTGGTGACACGCTCTCTCATCCCCCCCAGAGTAACGCGTCTGTGCGTCCTTTTATGGCTCTCCCCGGAGGCCCGCCGGCCTGGGAAAAGCTGGCCGTGAGGAAGGAACGTCTGTGCTGTCTCCTGTTCCTCTGCCCGGGATCGGTTTCATTCCCAGACGGTCAGGAGACGCGCGGGAGGGGTTGCAACGTTCAGGCTGCGCGTGTCCCAGGGCCGGTGCCTTTCTGATGAGAGAGGCAGACCAGGCAGGTCTGTGCACGCGGGAAGGGCACGTGAGGACACAGGAGGCACCCGTGTACCCGCGAAGCACAAAGGCCTCGGGAGGGCCCAGCCTTCGTCTAGGACGCCCACCATGCAGGCCTGCCAGGCAATGAATGCCCCTCCCAGGGCTGCTATGGTTGGAAACCGTATCCTCAGAACCCTGGGCCTCAGCACCTTCCAACGCCGTAACCCCAAACACCTGCGCGCAGGGACGTTTAAGGACAGGTAGGAAGAGCCGCGGTCACATGGTTGTGTGGAAGGTCCGTGGAGAACCGGAATTAATGGCATAGTTTTGAACAGCTGCCTATGGCCTGAGAGAAAGTTGTTTTTCTGTGGCTGTGCCTGGATCGAAAAACTGGGCGAGCCTCTTCGGGGGCGTGAGGCTCAGCGAAAGGACCGTAGTGCGGGGTCCTGCTTTGCATCCGCTTCCTGGACATAGGAGCCCGCAGCCTGCGTGCGTGGCGAACCCGGCGAGGGCCGGCCTTACCTCTGTAGTTTCCACAGAGACAGGGGGATGAGCAACAGAATCAGGAAGGTGACCAGGCCGTAAATTAAACTCAGTTTGGGGAAAGGTGATTTCTCCTCACAGGAATCTAAAGCAAAACAGGTTGAGCGCGGTTAGTTTATAAGGTGACACTGGGTGCCCCTCTGTCTCCCTGTGTTTCTTGTAAACACGTCCCTGCGTACGGGTCAGGGCGTCCTGGTTTCGGTTGGAAGCGCCCTGGGGAGAAGGGAGGAGTCCGCGGCCAGACCAGCCTCGGGCAGGCCGTGCAGGCTCAGCACACGGCCCTCTGGGCCGGCCGTGCCGCCGGCTCTTTGAGGGCACACGGACCCACTTCTGCGTGTCATGGAGGAGTCCTCCACCGGCCCGTCTGCCCATCCGTCCGTCCACCATCCACCCACCATCCGCCTAGCTATTCGATACCTACCTATTTATCCATCGATCCATCTATCCATTCACCCATCATCCGCGCATCCAATATTTATCTATGTATCCATACAGCCATCACCTCCTTCCCTATCCATCCTCTATCCATCCATCTACCCATCCTCTATCCATCCATCCCTTCATCATCTATGGCCAGTCTACACATGTATCACACACCATCTCCCTGCCCATCCATCCATCCACCCACCCACCATCTACTCCATCATCTCCCTATGAATCCTCCAGCTAATATCGACCATCGCGCTATCGACGTCTATCGTCTACCGACGTCTGTGTAGACCTCCCGACACAGCCACGCCGACATCCATGGAACAACACTCACTAAGGGCCCTTGTTCTTCCTGCTACCAAGTTACTAGAGGCAACAACTGAAAAGTCGCCCCAATGAAAAGTTCCGCCGGAGAGAAGACCAAGGGGAGGGGTGGCCTTCCCACGGGCCTGCAGCCTAGGAGGGCGGTCCCGCGGGTTTGGGGGCGCCCCGCGTCCCCGCCCCCGCCAGGCCTCACCGCGCAGCTCGCCCTTCTGCCAGTGGGCCACCTGCGACCAGTCGCTGGGGTGGGTGTCGAAGCCGTAGCTGGATTCCAGCGCTTTTACTCTGGCCCTGAAGCAGTAGCACCTGTCCGCATCCAAAGCCGCGATGGTCACGTTGCAGGTTTCCTCCTCCTGGGACTGGAGAGAGGAGGCACAAACAGGAGCACGGGGACGTCACCTGGAGACCTCTCCTTGCACCAGAGACCCAAGGCTTCCTCCCGCAGGCGCTCGGACGCCTGGGGGGGGGGGGGTTTCTCTTTCTTCCCAGATGCGGATCCTCAAAACAACAGGGAACAGAAACAAAAACAGAAACAAAGCCCAGGCGTCCGCACGCCCACGCTGCGCTCCAGCAGAAAAAAAATAAAATCCTTTACGGCAAAGACTCCTTCGGATGTTTGTGGAGAATGGCGCCCTGGGCACACAGTCATCCTTTTAAAAAAGGAAGGATTTCTTTAATGACTATCAAGGTGACACCCGCTTACTTTGCAGGTTTTAGAAGATGCGTGGACACAAGGCAACCTCAGAAACTTAACATTCTAAAATACAACCCCCACGAGCAAATGCACATTGTTCTTTTCTGCAACACGCAGAGATCAAACGCAATGTTTTACCGTATGCCTTGCTTCTGATCACTCAATATTCCTGAAAGTATCTTTTGAGGGCCCTTTTGTGCTTTATTATATAAATGTATCATTTGTTTCTTTTTTAATCCTTACCCAACGATCTGTTTATTGATTTTAGAGACAGGTACCGAGAGAGAGAGAGAGAGAAACATCGATTGCTTGCCTCCCATCTGTGCCTTGACCAGAGATCGAACCCACAACCTTTTCATACACAGGACGATGCTCCAAGCAACTGAGCCCCCCAGGCAGGCCCCACGGCTGTTGACTGTTCATCTATTGAAGGACACACGGGTCCTCCCATCTTTGGTATTTATCTTAGATGCATGCTCCAAGAGACGTCTTGTGCGTAAAAGCTCAACGACGTTTTGAATTATTTTTTAGGACCACCTTCTAAAACAGGGATCCACGGGCCAGGCTGGAGCGTGGCTGTGCTCTCCCAACGGCTGATGCTGAACGTCCCTGGACGCCTCCTACTGGACCCCTCGCGGGCGGTGCCCTGCATAGACCCCTGTGGTCTTCCTTTGCATGTCTTGGATGAGAAGTGGTCCTCTTCTGGTGGGTCCAGCCACAGGAGGCCGGTTTCCTGATCGGCCCCCTTCTGCTTCTGTTAACTATAACTACGCCTTTGGACGGCATTTCATCTGAATTTTTACCACGATTGCTGTGTTTTCTCGCAGTCTCCAAATGTTAGGGCGTCTCACCGGGAAACTGCCCGCCCCCCCATGTTCTCCCTAGCCATCTTGCTCTCCAGCAAAGTTTCACCAAAACTCCTGCCTCCTTTTTCCTCATCCTCCCGGGATCCATTGTCAAGCTTCCGAGTGAAACGACCCGGCAAACCGGCGCACCGCAGCTAACACGTTGCCACGGCTGGAGCACGTGGGTTGGCCCTACGTAACGCCGCGCTCTGGGACTCAGAAGACAGAGCTCTGGGGTCGTGTCAGCACCATGCAGTTGTTTGTGGGTCACCCGGACACGTGTGCAACACTGTAAGACGCCGTGGCTGGGTGGCCCATGCGGCTGGAGCATCACCCCATGCGTCCAAAGGCTGTGGCTTCCATCCCCGGCCAGAGCGCTTATGGGAGACAACTGAGCGATGCTTATCTCTCACATTGATGTCTCTCGCTCTCTGTCTCTCTCTCTTCCCCTTTCTCTGTGTCTCTCTCTCCTCCTCTCTCTCTCCCCTCCCCACCCCGTGTCTCTACCCAGTTGCCATCTTGAGTCTGCCTCGCCCCACCGGCCCGGGGGAGACGCCACGCCTCTCACCTGCCACTCATTGTCATAGATGCTCTTGTGCTGAACTTCGTACTGGAGGCTTCGGTAGGGCAGGTCGGCGCATGTCACCGTCACGGATTCTTCGTGCCAGTGGAAGTGGAGGTCGCGGGGGGCGTTGGGTTTCACTGCAGGGGGGGCGACAACACAGGGGTCGTCGCCTCTGCGAAGGCGGACACCCCCCATGTCTGCGGCAGCCGTGGTGAGAGCCCCGACATCCCCTTCCTTCCGCACGGCTGAGGTCGTCCTCCGGTTCCTTGGGGGGGGGGGTTGCTGATCCCTTCTCCCCACGACATTTGTAATAGACCTTTTAACCTGAGCTCCGAGGACCGACGGGTGGGTGGTCCTGTCGGGGCTTCGTGGACGTGCAGGCAAAACTTCCCTTTCTGTTTTGGCAGGAACCATGGCCCCCTCCCCCCAATAGAACGGATTGATGCTCCAGCCCCCCGGGCTTCAGAATGTGGTGACACCGGGAAATAGGGTTGTTTACAGATGGGCCTATGTAACGTAAGACGAGGTTGTCCTGCAGTCCCTACGGCGGCCACTAAAACAATATGGCTGTGTCACTGTCCGAGGTAGACAGGACACAGCGATGCATAGAGAGAGCGTCATGAACAGGTATTGCAAAGACCAGGCTGAGGCGCCTGCAAGCCAAGGAAGGCCGAGGGTTTCCGCAACCCCGAGAAGCTACCACGGAGGCACGGGGCCGATTTTCTCTCAGAGTCTCCGGGAGGACCCCACGGTGCCGACACCTCGCTGTGGGGCTTGAAGCTTCCCAAGCAAGGAGACAATAAAGGCTTCCTGGAAGCCACATGGTTTGGGGGAATTTTGTGGCAGCCTTAGGAAGCTCTGCCGTGTCTGGGATTTTAGCAGTGGGGGGTGCCTAGGTCGCGTCGGGTTCTGCGATGCGCCTGTCTCTAAAACCCATCTCTAAAAAGAAACAAGACGACCTTACAGAAGTATAGAAAAAAGAATACACGTTGTAGGGAGAGGATTTCTACATGGCTGCTGTATTTTCTAGTCCCAGATGAACAGAACCTCAAAGCACTTAAGGAAAGGGAATGGGATAGGTTTCATGCCTTGAGCATGTATTTATCTCCTTGTCGGCAGGAGGAAAACACCAAAGTCACATCCCTGATTCATGGTCCCCAATCGCAGCCTTCTCAGACCCTCCCCCCGGGGGGCAGGCACGCCTGTGTCTTGTGTGTGTCGAGACAGAACTTTCTAGAAGGCTGGCGTCTTCTGTGTTGGGGTAGGAAGGGGGATGTAAGTCTCGCAGTCAGCGGGCAAGGCTCTGCTCTCTGGGCACTTACAGTAATCACTGATCCACACACTGTCGAAGAAAAGACGGTGGGTCCCCTTCAAGATGGAAAAGTCCATAACCTCATCTCCTTCTGCCTTGAAGACGCACCCAACAGTGCGCCCGTGTCGAAGAATGTAGTTGGGACACGGGCCACAGTCCTTACCCCGGAATCTGCGGTCGAAAAAGAGAACCGTGCGTCCCAAGACCGTCTTTGACAATAACATCGTAGCGAGTCTGCTGGCCACGGACCCCAGTTGGGTACCGTCTTGACGCACGTCAATCATCCCCCGAAAACTAGAGCAAGACCTGGCCACACAAAAAGCATGCGCTTTCTCAAGTGTTTAAGCCCTTCGTCTGGCTTCTGGAGTGGGTAGGATGGTGGCAATCCCAAGGCGTGTCCGTGAATCAATCGCAGGAGCCCGGGAACAGAAGCCTATCTAGAAACAGGGTCTTTGCAGGGGGGATGAGGGGAGGGATCTGAGAGGAGGCCGTCCTGGGTCGGGGGGGCCCTACATCCAAGGACAGGGTCCTGAGAAGAGACGGAAGAGGAGACGCAGACCCCGAGGAGACGCCCCGTGGAGACGGAGGCAGAGAGGGAGGGACGCCGGGGGCCCCCGGAGCTGGGAGAGGCGGGAAGGACCCTCCCTGGAGCCTGGGGAGGGCACATGGCCCCAGGGCACCTGGACCTCAGATGCCTGGTCGCCAGGATGGGGGAGGGTGAATGTGTGTGATTTGAAGATGTTCGGTTTGTGCAGTGTGTTGTGTGTCCCCAGAAAGTAATCAGTCACAGTTTGCCCTGCAAAGCAACCAGCTCTGTGAATGGAAAGACACGTTCATGTGGATGCACCGAGATGGGAAAGCACTCTGAGTGTCCCTGCAACATCAGAGGGAGCACAGGACCGTGCCCGAGGCCGGCTTATGCTTCAGCCTGAAGGCCCCATCCCCCCGCAGTGTCTAGATCAAAATGGGTCCCCTTCATGCATAAAGAAAGTAAAAGTAAAAACGGGTGCTCAGAACACTCAAGGGACCCCTCTCTGGGACCACCTGGGAAAGTCGGCCCAGTATTTTTCCCACTGAGTTTTCTTTTCCCAATCAGTTCATCTTGAAAATTTCCCTCTTTGGTACGCTTTCCCATTAATCGCCTAGGGCATCAAATTGCAAGGACCAACCACATATCCCGCAGAGGTGTTCTCAGAACTCAGAGTAAATTTGTTGGGGAAAACCCTACCTCCAGCGTGTGTCCTCATGTCTGAACATGGAGAGCAAGGTGAATAAGCCGATAGCAGAAACAGATAGCTTTGGACGGGGGCCCCTCCCACCCTGGTGCAAAACATGTTGGGAAGTTGACCTTGGTCAGGGCTGCAAAGCAGGTAATATTCCAAGGCAATGGGGCTCCTGGCAAACGTATCTGCTGAGACATGGACGGTGACCCTGGATGAGCAGAGTAAATGGTGACCGTGGGGATAAGAATCTAGGCAGTTTCGCGTGTGACTCAGTCATCGCTTGGTTAGCCCTGGGCGCTGCGGTTGTGGTTGTGGAGACGAGAGAACACACACAGTAGCACCTATACCCTCTGATTAGTCATAGCTGTCTTTCCTGGCCCTCCCCATTGCCGAGCTCTCAGCGGAAGAGGTAGTTTGGCACAGGTCATTGGTTTGTTGGGTTTGTTTTTTGCCCCAGAGGACAGTTACCTGTAGCGGAAAGTCAGATTCGTCCCCAGGTCTTCACTTGCATTCCACGTCACCTGCACAGTTTCAAAGTTAAAGTTGATGATGTGGTACGGCAACTCCTCTCCTGCGTAGAAAGAGACACATAGAGGAGGCCTTGAGAACATGTGGAAACGGGACGAGGTTTGCAAAGCGATGCCTTCACCCCGTCGTAAAAACTACACAGCGCTTTACAGGGGCAGACGAATCTGAGATTTTTCACAGACAAGTCCGTCATTAATTACGTCGGTTACTGGAGAGGGGAGGGACAAGACATGTTGATATAAAGGTTGGTCAGGCCAAGGACTCCGACAGACAACAGTCTGCAGTAAGATGACAGCTGTCTTTCTTCTCGTATTTTCCAGGCCAGCAGTCACTGTCCACAGCAGACACTGCCAACTGGGTGTTCAATGACACTGTCCTTTGTGGGTGCAAAGAGAGGCATTGGACATGGTGCCCGTCCCCCCAAAATCACCGTCTCACTCAGCACACCACACAGGACAACTGGAAGAGAACCTCAGGGACCCGTGAGTGTTTCCATCTTGGAAAAGTTGCTTGGACCTCAGTAGGTTTGGTGTTGGCCAAGGTGGGCTGGTCCCCCTGAACACAGTCAACGGGTGTATTTTAGGATTGAGCAAAGGTGCGATGAGGTCGTCGATGATGAGACGTGGGTTCTTACCTGCCAGAGAAGGGAGCTACGGGTTTCGAGAGGCGGAAGGCTACAGCCAACCCTGTGGTATTGGATTCAAAGGGCAAGATAGCTGATACACAGGTATATAGAAGATGGATGGAGAGAATGGATTGGAAGGTAATGGCAGATGGATGTATGGACGGATGGATGGACGGATGGATGGATGGATATATAGATAAAGAGATAGGTGACAGATAGTTAGACAGAGAGACGGATAATGAATGGACAGATAGGTAACCGATGATGGATGGATGGATATGGTGAACGGATGGATGGATGGATGATAAATGGATGAATACATAAAGAGATATATACATGATCGATAGGTTGATAGGCAGATAGATATAGAAAGAGAGAGATGGCTGGCGAGGTGGATGGGTGAATGGGCACATTCCTCATACCCAGCAGGATGTGGGTGGTAGGCAGGTGAACAGACACATGTCCCTAAGTTCTGAGACGGAGGCGCTGGAAGCCCCGGGCCAGGGAAGCACACTCCCCGTTCGTGCGGGGGTCCGGCCCTGCCCCTGGGTGGGAGGCAGATCCAGACTGCGGCCGTAGCTTTGTGCGCGCATCCCCACTGCAACATCCCGCTCTTTTCCCCGACGAGAATTCATGGAACCGCCCCTCCGCTCACGGTCCCGCATCGACCCCTCCCCCCACCACAGCCCCTCCATCAGCCCAACGCGAGCCGTTTTCCAAAACCCATCTTGTATTTCACTAATGCCTCTGTTGGCACCCCCACCCGGTAGCCTCCTTCTCGCTTTGGATCGCAAGGGCCCATGCCCGCCGACGGCGTGGAGACAGACAAAGACCGCCCTGCAGACGCCGCGCACACAGGCTGTTCGTGGAGAAGTGGCTGTGGCAGGAGGTTCGACCGCCGTCACCGGCACCGCACAGAGACCCTGAGGCGGGCAGGAGAGCCGGACAGCTTCGCCTGGGACCAAGGGACGCGTCTGGTGTACCAGCCGTAGGGGGCTCACGAGAAGGAGGGTGCCCCGTGCGACTGGAGAGAGGGCATCCGTCGCTTTCTCTGGTTGGCCCCAAGTCGGAAGGCGGGAGAAAAGTTAGGAACGTCATCCGCGGCACCTCGAGGGGCTGGTTGTGCGGGCAGGGTGCTGCCGCGAGGAGGTCGCACGCCTATACTGCCCAGTGGCCTGGCCGGCGGCTATTGTTACTATCAGTCCCTCAACTCCCCGCCCTTCAGTCACGAGACCGCAGCTCCTCGGGACGCCAAAGAGCCCTGTTTGGGCCATTTTTATCGTTTTAACTGGCTTCCTGACGTCACTCGCCACGCGCGGTCCTGTGCTGAGCATGTAGAAAAAGCGTCAGGTTCGGGAGGGAGAGGAAAATTGAACTTTGGGGAAGGTCTCCTGAGGAGAGTCTGGATCTCACGCAACGTCGGAAAACTGAGGGTAGAAGGAGGGACGTGAACATTTTTGAGTCCTGAGGGAAAGCCTTCCACGTGCCCACATGTATGGGCGATTTCTAGTCTATGCTGGGCGTCGTGGCTGATGGGATGGACCACTCAGCAGAGGCCCTCGAAGTCGATCCACAGGGTCCTGAAAGGGACAGAGATCGGGGTGGGCATCCCCGACCTTTGGAAGAGGAAGTGGTGTTGGGGGCGTCCGCGGACGACGTTGAGAGCGCCGACCCCAGCGAACAGCGCGTCAGACCTGGAGCGCTGCCTGCCTGGAAAATTCCTCACTGAGAACGCCCAACGCCCCTGCATCCCGGCCGAAAAGGAAGCGTGTTTTTGTGGTTCAACGCCTCGCCCACACTGTGAGTCAGCCGCGGGACCAGGCGGCCAGCCCCTGAGGTGGGAGAGGGGACGAGCTCACCGTGGTCCCTTGGGTCTCTGTTGCTTATCCACTAAGTCCCCCCGATGGGTTCGCCCGTTGCTGGTGGCCAGTGGGGTTCGGACCTTCCCCACCCGCGTGGGGCGGGAATTCTCAGGCAAGGACGGAGAGGAAGCTTCGGACGGCTTTCCAGCAGGTCTGCCCGACATGATATCCCAGCGTCACTCTTGAGCGGTTTCTTCTCCCAGCTGGACCTTAACGCAGGTTCACGGTGAGCAAGTCCCTGCGGAGGGTTCAGATGCCTTTGCGGAAAGAGAGGAAGGTCCTCCTGAGGGGCGTTGTCTTTCTCCCCTGCCGCGCCCTGGGGGGCCAGGTCTCAAGGTCGAGTAGGAGACTACATTCCTGCTGTGAACGGTAGCAGGAGAGGCTTGCTTCCCCGGCATCATTAATATCCTCCAGGTCCAGCCACGTTGTCACGAAGGGCAAGATTTCCTGTCACGGCTGCGTGTTCTCCCACGGTGTCAACCTACCACAGCTGTTGTATCTACTCATCTACCGATGGGCTCTTGGGTTGTTTCCAGATTGTGGTGATTGTAAGTCATGTCTCAGTGTGCACGGGAGGCCCTGTGTTTTTTCACATTAGCGTGTCGGGTTTCTTCGGATATATTCTCAGAAGTACAGACAGTCAGACAGAACAGCTGATGTTCTCTGATTTCTCTGACACGCGGAATCTGTAGAAGAGCGTACACGACCAAGCAAAACAAAGCGAGTCACCGATTCGGAGAACAGGTGGAGTGTGGCCAGACAGGGTGGGGGCCGGGGGGCCGGGGTCGCCCCAGACGTGAAGTGCAGCCCCAGGGGCCGGGCCAGGGAGGGCGCAGTGACTATGGGCCAGGTGGAGACTAGGAAGATCAGGGGGCGACTTCCTCAGTTACATCAAGGCCTGACCACGCTCTTGTCCACCGGAAACTGAAGCAAATAACATGGGATGCCCACGGTAATTGGAAAATAAATAAGGAAAGAGACAGCGCCCCTTCTTAGAGCCTCCACTTGGGGGAACTTTCTCCACCTCTTTGAAATGGATGTAAATCATTTCAGTAGGGACTCAGCTTTTTGCCAGGTTTAGGCCCAGAAATGCAGTTTCCAAGGATGTAGGGACCGAGTCTCTGAAATGCAAACATTAACAGACGTGGGTGGGGGGCCCCATCTCCCACTCTCTATGCGAAGAGAAGGGAAGTTGTCAGAGTGCCCGCTATCCTAAAAACAGAAGGGTATTTTTCAGTTGCATAAACGATTAGGTGCCACAGACGGCCCCTCTGGTGCTGTGTGGGTGTAGGAAGGACCCCGCGGGGCCCCGGGAGCCGGGAAGCCCCCGCCGAGGGGGGCCGGTCATCGTGGACCTCGACGACCCGTGCGTGAGGGGCTTTGTGGGCTGCGATCGGCCCAAGAGGGTCTGTGTGGGCAGCCTCCTCAGCGGCCCCCCCGCGACGACGCCCGTGGCTTTGTGGTTTTACGCTTATTCAACAGCGGCAAGGCTGTCCCGCCTCGTCCTCCCTCGTGGAGACGGGTTGCCACAGATGTCTCAGAGGGCGCGTCCCCAGCCGCCTCTGAAACTCCCCCATGTGGAGCTGGTGCAGCGATGGCCCCGTCCGGAGCCACTGGCCGATGCTCGACGAACATCCCGGTGACCCCGTTTCCCAGGGGAGGACAGCACACGTGGCTGCCAGGGGGTGGCCCAGGCCACGTGGCTGCGAGCGCGTTTGGACACCGTGAGGGTTTTCAGAGGTTGGGAGGCGCGAAGGTGTACATGGCGGGTGGGAGGAGAGATTCGCCACCCAAGTGAGAACGGGTGTTGGCACCTGCACAGGGATAGGGGGAGAGAGGGACGGAGAGACAGACCGACAAAGGCACAGACAAGAGACAGACAGAGGCAAAGAGAGATCTTTCTCTTTTTTTTTTCCACTGTTTTTGGATACTAATTTCCACGCCACGTCCACGCTGCAGCTGTATGAGAAATCCCTAGGTTTCTGGAGACGCTCCCCGAGGCCACCACCCGGGATGCGGCGCAGGACGGTGAGACCACGAAAAAGAAACGCAACTTGAAAGACCAACAAACACTGCAGGGGTGTGGTTACGGCAGGTCCCCAGAGAAGGGCGCGTGGCAGAGACGGGCGCAGCGGGCGGCTGCAGGCTGGGCGTCGGACGGGACCGAGCCGTCAGGAGGAGCAAGGACAACGCTCTGGACAGGAGTGTGGGAATGGCTGTCCAGCACCGTGACTGCGCTTCCTGTCACCGAGCTGCGCCCCTCGCCATACTGCCGATGACAAGCTCTACGTCGTGTGTATTTCACCATGACGTGGTCGTAAACAATAAGCAAGTGGATTTCTGCTTAAAAACGTCTGTTTGCGATTGCGTTTATGGAACGTCTTGGAGACACTGTTCATGGGGAGGCGGCGGGGACATTGGCCCCAGGCAGCGCCCGCAACGGCTTTCTCAGGCCTCGTTTCCCTGTCTGCGCGGCACGCGTCTCGGGCTGAGGCCATGCAGGCCACGTGCTGAACCTCATCGGTGGGGATGAGTAAGGGAGGTGCACGCACGCACCCGGTGGAGTACGACGCGGCCCCGAACAGGAGGCCGGCTCGGACTCAGGCGGCGCCCTGGGCGCAGCTAGAACACAGGGCGCTGCTCCCTGGGAGACGCCAGGCACTCACGGTCCCGTGCTGTGGCTCCCACGGGTGCGGAACGCCCAGAACAGGCCCGTCCACAGGGACAGAGAGGGGTCAGCGGTCATCAGGGACCGGGGAGGGGCCGTGAACGGAGGCGGTTCAATGGGCAGCAGGTCTCCTCTGAGGCTGTGAAATTGGCCGCGGTGATGCATGGCCGCGCGGCAAATGCCGAGCTTTAAACGGAGGCTGAGTGTGCTGTCTCGGTCCCTTGTCGATCGCGCTGACCGCCAAAGCCCCACGCGGGCGTCCCCCCCCCCGCTGGGCTGACGTCACCTCCGCTCACGGCCCCTCACCTCCGAGGGAGACACCACGGGCGGGGACCCCACGAGGCTGCTGTCGCGCTCACACCGGCGCCTCGTGGACCCCGGCACGTGGGGAGCCTCTGCCTCATGGAAAAACCCTCGTTCCAGAAGGCCCTTTCTTTTCTTTTCTTTTTTCCACCCAAAACCACAAGGGTGGCAGAACGCGTGCCGGTGACCCTGTTGGCATGGGGCGGCTCAGCGTTGAAACACCAAGAACTTTGTTCTGCATGTGGAGCCCGCTTCCCCAGGAAAAAATATCCGCCGAAAGGAGGTGATGGGGGATCAGAGGAATGTGCTTTCATGAGTGGGGGCAGCAGGGGGCTTGGCCTCCAAATCCTGTTGTGTGTTTTGGAGGGCTGCCTGTCAGGTCAGATCAAAGCAGCGGGTCCTCCGTCCCTTCCTCCCTCCCTCCCTCCCTTTCTTCCTGCCTTCCTTCCTCCCTTCCTCCTCCTCCTCTTTCTCTCTCTCTCTCCATCCTCATTTATTTAATCCGCAGCTGAAATCTTAAGAACACCCGTCAGCCCCCAAGCCACACGCAACGCCCGCCACACGGCGCGGCCCCCCTGCCCCAAGCCCGCCCTCGCCTGGCCCCTGCCTGCAGTCCGGCCACGCCGTCTGCCATGCCCGGCCGGGGGTCACCGGGGTCCGGCTGGGGCGCACGCCTTCCGACTGCTCCCTGTCCTGGGCTTCGGCATCTGTCCCCGGCGGGGACACCGCTGAGACCGGCTGCCCATCCCCAGCGCACGGGGTGCCTTCCGGCACCTCCCTGCCACTCACAGAGAAACCTCACATCAGAACGCGGTGACCGATGATAACGGAG